CATATTTCTCTAATGGCCAGTGATGTTGAGCATTTCTTCATATATGGTCATTTGTACATCTTTTTCTGTGAAATGTTTATTCGTTTCACTCACTCATTTTGATTGGGTCTCTTATTTGGGGAGGTCTAATTTTTGGGTGAGTTCTTTCTATATTCTAGATGTTAGTCTTCTGAGAAACAGCTGGAAAGCTTTTGCCAGTCTGTAAGCTGTCTTTTCCCTCTGTTGGTTTGTCTTTTGCTGTGTAGAAGCTTTTTAATTTGACACAATTCCATCTCTTGATTCTCAGTACTATTTCCTGTGCAACCAGGGTTCTATTCAGAAAGTCCTTGCCTATGCCTATGACTTCAAGAGTTTTACCTATTTTATCTTTCAGCAGGTGAAGTGTTTCTGTTTTAACATTGAGTTAATCCATTTTGATTTTAGTTCAGCACACAGTAAGAGATATGAATCTAGATAAAATCTTCTGTGTGCAGACAGCCAGTTTTCCCACCACCATTTATTAAAGAGGTTATCTTTCCTCCAGTTTATGTTGTTGACCCTTTTTTCAAAAATCAAATAATTGAAAAAAATCAAGTAATTGAATGTGCTTAGGGTTGTTTCTGCATCTTTTATTCTGTTCCATTGCTCCTCATGGCTATTTTAGTGCCAGCACGATGCTGTTTTTATCACAGTAGTTTTATGAAATAACTTCAAGTCCAGGATTGTGATGCCTCCTGCTTTGCTCTTGTTATCCAGGATTGCTTTTGCTATTCTGAGTCTCTTCTGGTTCCATATGAATTTTAGATTGTTTCCTCCAGTTCTGTGAAAAATGCTGTTGGTATTTTGATTGAGTTTGTGTTAAACCTGTGTATCAATATTGGAAGTATGGCCATTTTGACTATTTTGGTTCTGCCTATCCAAGAAAAGGGAATAGCTTTCTGTTTTCTGATGTTCTTTTTGATTTCCTCTTTCAGAGTGCTGTAGTTTTCATTGTAGAGGTCTTTCATTTCCTTAGTTAGATTAATTCCTAAGTATTTGATTCTTCTTAGTGTTATTGTGAATGGTATTTTTCCCAGTTTCTTTCATTATTAGTGTATTTTGTGTCCTGCTACTTTACTGAATTTGGTTATTATTTTAAGAGCCTTTTGGAGGATTGTTGGAATCTTCTTGGTAGAGGACCATGTCATCTGCAAATAAGGATAATTTGATTTCTTTCTTTCCTATACATATCACTTTTATTTCTTTTTCTTGTTTAATTACTCTTGCTAATGTTTCAAATACCATGTTGACCAGAAGTGGTGACAGTGGACATCCTTGTCTTGTTCCTGATTCTAGAAGGAAAAGACTATATATCTTTGATTGAGGCTTGGATCCATGCCCATCAGACTTATCAGTCCCCACATCTTAGACTTCCTTTCTTTCTCATTTTTCTCTCCCTCCAAAGCCTCTGAATTTCTAGCACCAGCTTTGCTGTTCAGAAACATGCTTAAATGCTTGTTCAGGCCACAGGAACAGAAGGCTGTAAACATGCATGATCTCTCTCTCTTTCTCTCCTCAGGAAGTGATGAGTTTCCTGGAGCCAGCGGGATCACATCCCTCTGAGCCAACAGGGAAAGCAAACACTCAGCTGGGAAATCCTCCTCTGTCTCCACTCAGTGCCTCCCCCTGGCAGGGAGTCAGCTCTTGGGGTTGTGCTAAGATCTCCTGCCTTGGCCATGTCCGCAGCTGTGGAGACATCCCACAGAGCTGCAGCCAGCTCGCCAGCTGCTAGCCATGGTGGGGCTGCACCTCACTTGGCCCCTTGGCTGGAAAGAGCACAAGGGGTTGAGGGGCTCACTTTCCCTGCACCCAAGTGCAGCCACATTCTGTCTCCTACAACTCAGAAACCAGCCACAAGAGAACCCCAGGCGTTAGTATACGCGGGCTTGGCTGTTTGCTAATCACTCAATAAAGTATTCATGGGACACTACTGTGTGCCAAAACTGAGGGTACAGAGGTGACTGCAATCTCAGGGAACCAGGTTCCCTCTACTTGGTCCCCTCCCAAGCTCACACTAAGCCTCTTAGGCACCTGTTTTAAAAATTCTTATGAACAAGCATCCAGACCGTATTTTTGTTTTATTTTTTATTTGTTTTGTTATTTTTTAGTACTGGGAATTGAACCCAGGGCCTTTGTACTGAGCTACGCACCCAGTTCTTTTTGTTTTTAATTTTGAGATAAGATCTTGCTAAGTTGCCTGGGCTGGGTTTAAACTTTTGGTCCTCCTGCCTCACCCTCCTAGAGCGCTGGAATGACAGGTGTGTGCCACCACACACAGCTCACACTGGTTTCTAAATACCATCTCCTATAAAAAAGAACCAGGAGGCCGGAGGGCCTGGGCCTGGGCCTGGGCCTGGCTGGCAGGACTCAGGGCACCCAGGAGCACAAGGGCCCAAGTGGCTGGGGTCCACCCGCGGGGCTGGGCTCTGGGTGGGTGTTTTGTTTTGTTTTATTTTGTTTTTAGGTGATTATCTTCCCTTCTTTCCAGTTGGTGACTAAGAACGGGAACAAGATGCAGCTTGCTACTGGCAGCACTTAACAGTGAAGATTTGCTCATGTGTAGTTACCAAGTGCCCAGGAGTCAGAAAACCTGTACTGTAGTCCCTGATTCTGCCACTTCTTGGTTGACTTGACCTGCCCTGAATCTGTACCCTCATCAGTAAAAATGAGGTAGTGCTGATATATCCAAAATTTAGTGAAGCAGCAAAAACAATATATGCAAGCCAGGCATAGTGGGGCATGCTTGTGACCCCAGCACTTAGGAGGCTGAGGCACTTTTTATCATCTGTGGAAGCATCCCTGTAATTCATTTTCCCTCACTGCATATTAAGAATAATATCAAATTGAAAAGATACGAATATCCTTAAAAAATAAAAAGGAAGATTTTACACCTTTCTCATTATTTAGATTCCTCTGGGATAAGCAGAATTGCAGATGGAGTCAATGGAAGTTTTTTGGATCATTGTTACAGTGCCTCTTCTATGAGACAGCCAGACTTAAAATATTTTGAAAATAAAGATGGTGATTTGGATGCTGAGATATCAAATGACCTCCCAAAATTTGCAGAAGGAATCAAGGCCAGAAACAGAAATCAGAACTACCTTGTTCACAGTCCCATGCTTAGAATTCTAGAGCACATTGCCTTCTCTGCAGAAAAATCTGCTGATGTTGAAACTGGTGATGAAGAGTGTGACTCACCCGAATCCATCAATCAGAAAACTCACGAGGAGAGTCCTACAGAAGTCCACACTACTGAAGATGTTCCAGTTGCTGTGGATGTGCATGTAATTTCAGAGGATTACAATATAGAGACAGAAAACAATTCCTCAGAAATCCTCCAAGACCAAACTGATGAGAGACACCTGCTAAACTTTGTAAAATTCTTAACAAAAGCCAAGTTTTGAATGCGACTGCCCAGCAGAAATGGCCTTCACTGAGAGCTAATAGCATTGGCCTCTATAAATGTGAACTTTGTGACTTCAACAGTAAATATTTTTCAGATTTAAAACAGCATGTGACCCTAAAGCATAAAAGTGTCCGGAGTATGCAGGGAAAGTTTCTCTACCAGCGTGCTTCTGATTGAACATACCAAACTACACGAAGAGGATCCCTACATTTGTAAATACTGTGACTATAAGACAGTCATTTTTGAGAACCTCAGTCAACACATTTCAGACACCCATTTTAGTGATCACCTCTACTGGTGTGAGCAGTGTGATGTGCAGTTCTCCTGGAGCAGTGGGCTATACCTACACTTCCAAGAGCACAGCTGGGATGTACAGAACTTGTGTCAGTTCTGTGAACACAAAACTAATGATCCAGAAGACTTGCACAGCCACGTGGTAAATGAGTATGCATATAAATTAATAAATTTAAGTGATAAGTATAATGTCTTAGTTACTTTTCTCATTGCTGAGACAAAATATGACACCCAAAGTTAAAGAAGGAAAGGTTTATCTGGCTCACAGTGTATAGAAGTTTCAGTCCATAATCAGTTGGCTCTAAAACAGGGTGGCATCACAGAGGAGAAATGGTTCATGGTGGGCAGAAGGTAGCAAAGCAACAACGCAGATCTTTCTATCCCTTATATCTTTTTTTTTTGTGCTAGGGATCAAACTCAGGTCCTTAAGCCTGCGAGGCAGGTGGTGAAAACACCAAGCTAAATCCCCAGCTATCCCTTATATCTTATCCAGGCTACTTCAGGGAAGTAACATTCACACCATTAATCCTAGTGCCTTTGAGCCTAACATTGCACCATGAATCAATCCCAGGATCACACACTCTAGATCCAGCCACTGCTGAAAAAAAATCCCACCTATGACTGCATGAGAACTTGAGGGGATATCTAGACATAAGCCATAATGTATAACAATGGAGAACATAAACAGTACAGCCTCTTAAGCAAAATTACTTTTGACAAATGTAAGAACTTCTTTGTATATCAACTATGTGATTTTTGGAGTAGGGTTCATACAAATGTTAACAGGCATGCTGCTACTGAACATTAAATAAATTTATAAATATATTTACTAAAATATTTACTCATGTTTGTCATGAATGTGGGAAGGGCTTTTCAAGTATTCCAGAATACTGCAAGCATTTAAATTCACATTTATCTGAAGGGATTTACTTCTGTCAGTATTGTGAATATTCAACAGGACAAATTGAAGATCTTAAAATTCATTTGGATTTCAAGCATTCGGCTGACTTACCTCATAAATATAGTGACTGCTTGATGAGGTTTGGAAATAAAAGGGAATTAATAAGCACCTTCAAGTCCATGAGACAGCGATTATTTTCTTCATTTTTACTGATATTATGCAAAATAATAAATTCAACTTTTCTGGAAATGTTAAAATGAATGATCTTAAATACAACTTACAAGATTTGTCTTTAACAAATAATAAGTTTTTTTATTGTCCATATTTCTTGGCACTGCTACATTTTTCAGTATATAATTATACCTTCATTGTAGTATTTTAAAAAAAAAAGAACCAGGATCTCCAATGACTAAAGTTAGAACAAGTTGAGCACTGATATAATGCTGGATTAAAGCTCAAACAGATGATAGGATAAATACATAAAAGGAAGTAAAGGGAATTCTTTTTCCCATAAGAGTTGCAAATAACAAACACAGATGCTCCATTATCTACAGGAGGCAGAGCTGGATGTCCCACCCTCAGTTTGTGCTGAGCTTACAGAGTTTTCCAAAGAACCTCTCATCTCAGGGGAGTAACTTTACCATAGAGAAACTCAGCAGCCACCACTTGACCAAGTGATGGAGGCTGACGTTGCCTGGGATGTTGGGTGGGCCTCATGTGTATTTCACCTAAAAGGGGCTTTCTTCCTCCAAATCCATCCTCCCCATCTGCCTTAGTTACTTTCTCATTGCTGGGCCACAATAACTGACATCCACAACTTAAAGAAGGAAAGGTTTATTTTGGCTCACATTTTGTAGAGGTTTCATACACAACCATAGTCATCTGGCTCCAAGGCAGGGCAGCACGGCAGAACGGCATGGCAGTGGAGAAAAAGCTCATGGCAGGGTGGCCAAAGGAAGAAAACTATCAAGGGAGGAAGGAGAGAGATAAGACCCACCCAGTTCATGTTCTCAGTGACCCCTCTCCTCTAACCAGGCTTCACCTCCCAAGATCACACTTAGCTATAAACTCATCAGTGGATTACCCAGTGAACAGTATTATGCCTCAATTACCTCCCAAAAGCCCCACGTAGGAGCACATGGGGCTTTGGGTGGACATCTAAAGATAAATCATAACATTCCGTCACTAGCCCCCAAAAGACTCATGTGCATCCTTTCGTGAAAAATGTGTTTAGTCCGTCTCTAATAGCTGCCAAAGTCCTAGCAGTTTCAGCAGTGCTGAAAAGTCCAAGTCCAAGGTCTCCTCTGAGATTTAAGGCAAACTCTTAGCCGTGAGCCTCTATAAAAAACATGAAAAGAAGCATAAACACCGGCAACATACAAAGGCACGGGGTAAACATTCTCATTCCAAAAGGGAGAAATAGGGGGACAGAAAGGAATGGGACCAAATCAAGACCTACAGCCAGCACAAAAACATTAAATCCTATAGTTCCATGTCCGGCACCTGGGGCCAGTTGTGATGAGATGTGAACTGCAAAGGGCTTGTGTGGCCCATCTTCTGCAGCGCTGCGGTGATTATAGCCCTCATGGCTTCTGTCTTGGGCTGGCTTTGCTCACTCCTTGTGGGTTTCCTCAGATGACCCACGTTCCTGGCTTTTCCAACATCCTAGGTCCTCTGCAGCACTTTCAGCTTCATACTCACAGCTTCACACACTGCCCTCTGAGGGGCACACTGTCTGGCCTCCCAGAGTTTCTTCTGAAATCTGGGTGGAGGCCTTCCTGACCCCAAAACTCTTGCATTCTGCATGCATCTAAACCCAGCACTACGTGGATGATGTCAAGATCTGCCACCAGTTGGAGCAGTAGCCAGGTTTTCTTATACCATGGCTATAGGAGGTCTGAGTGCCAGGATGGCTAAGCACATGAATGGAATCCTGAGGAGCAAGTTCTCTAGGTAGCTGCCATTTTGGAGCATGCTAGGGCTCTCTTCTGAAAGCAAAGTCTTTCAGTTGTTTTTTTTATTTTGAGCCTCCAAAGGATGGAGCCTTATTGGTTCCTCACATTTCAAGGCATTTCTCCTATATTCCTGTGTGAAGTATTTGCAACCAAGCTCTCCTTTGGTCCATCTTTGCAGGTCCCAACTTAACACGAGCTTCCTTTCTGGTGAAATTGAAAACTTTTAAAATCACTCAGCTGTGCCACTTGCTGTTGATTCTCAAGATATAGCTGGCTAAAATTCCCCAGCAGTAGCCATGCCAATGCTTCAACATTAGACTGGCTTGAAACTTCTTCCTCAAGATAATTAGTCCACTCTTCTTAATCTCAGTCTAGCAAATTTTCTGCCAAAGCATAACACACATGACTTGGACTCCAACTGTCAATGCAGTCCTTGTCCCCTTAACCTCCTGAGCCTAGTTTTTTAATAGCTGCATTTTTCTGAGCTCTGACCACAATCTCCCACCAAGCTTGGCTCACAGCATTTTAGGACTGCTTCTTCAGCTGACATCTCCAAATCTTTTCAAACTTCTCTTGCAAATCTGTTCCAAAGGTTTCTGAACCACACAGGTCATCACAGTAATGACCCTACTTCTCTGGACCAAAATTAATATCAGTTAGGAAGAATAGATTTAATATGAAATATAAGATATATTAAGGAGTTAGAAGGTAGGCTTACATGGCCCCCTGCAGAGTTAGGTGTGGAAAAATGCAAAAGAGTCACCTGTGTGCTGGAGAGCCAGAGGGTCCAGTCCAAGGTCAAAGACCTGGAGCTCACTGCACAGTGCCATGTGAGTCCATATCTGGAAGTCCAAGGGTCTGTGTTGGAAGGCTGAATGGTCTGCACTGGACGCCTAGAGATGGACATCCAAAGGTGACAGTGAAGACCGGAGCTCCTCTGAAGAAGCAGAAGCCAGGCTTCCTTCTTTCCTTTTCATTCCATCCAGGCTAGAAGCCTATTGGTCGGTGCCACCCACATACAGGGTGGGTCTTCCCTCTTCAGAAAGTCCATTATCCAGACACACTCAGAATGGTGCCAAACCAATCAGCTAGGCTTTTCTTACCCTAGTTGACACCACCGTTAACTGTCACACCATCTAAGCATGAGAAAGCATCAGACGAGCCAAAATTCAGGCACATTCTACAAATAACGGACAAATACTCTTGAAAATAGTCAAGGTCACCAAAAACAAAGAAAAACTAGGCAATCGTCAGAGCAGAGAAGACTGAGGACACTCAAGGTCTCAGTGCAGTATGTTGGCCCAGACTGGATCCCAGAACAGAAAAAGGACATTGATGGAAAAAGGGGTGAAATCCAAATAAGTTCTGGAGTGCAGTTGACAGCAACGTATCAGATTAATTTCATAGTTTTGACAAATGCTTCATAACTAATGGCTACGTGAGATATTAACATTCTAGGAAACTGGGTAAAGGTCTAAGGGAACTCTAGGTGTTGTCTTTGCAACTTTTCTACAAATCTAAAACTATCATAAAGTAAGAAGCTTAAAAAGCATTTCTTCTTGATGAAAAAAGGAATACACGTTCATTGCATAAAGTTTGTAAAATTTGCACGTGAGAATCCAGCAGATGCTTACCATTCGCTCTATTAACATTCTGATGGATTTCAACAGAACCTTGCTTCCTGGGCACTTTTGACACAACTAGAAACAGGTTTCAATCACCATTTCCTACCCTGTTTTTGGTAAACATCATTTTTTAACTACTTGATAGTCCATGGCTTGATTGTGTTATAATTTACCTAGCTGCTCTCTCTGCTGCGGGACATAACTTATAGTGATTTCCTGATAAAATAAAACTCTAACAAATACATCTGGGTCTGCATTTGGGATTGTTGTCTAAAGATAAAGCCTTAAGAAAGACACTTATAAAGCTGAGGCAGGAGACTGCAAGTTCGAGCCCAACTTGGGCAACTTAGTGACTTAGTGAGACCCTGTCTCAAAAAATTAAAAAAGATCTAGGGATGCAGCTCAGTGTGAAGACTCTGGGGCCTGTCCCCAGTACCACACACAAAGAAGACATTTATAAATCAATGAAGGTGGGTATTTTTAAGGCCCTACATGCATATTATCAATTCACTTTCCGAAAGAGGGTTCCATGGTACCCAGTGAATGGCTTATTTCAGATGCCTGTCTCCTAAGGGCTTACTTTATTCAACTTACCTCCCCAGGTTCTGGGTGTTTTGAATAGCCTCTCTTGCAACTTTCCCTATACTCTCAACATGGCTTCTTCCGGTTCTGTTTGCCCCTCTATGCATTCACAGTCCCTCCTTTGGTCCTGTGCCTGCTCAGCACCACATCCCTCCATCAAACTCCTTAGTATTTAAGACCTTTACTCCTATATCCCCAGCTACAGCCTCCAGCCTCTCTCTTCTTATAATCCGTGGTATGCATCAGCTGCATTCTGTTTTCCCATTCATACACTGATGAATGAAAGTTGATTTAGGTGGCTTCTGCCTTGTGATAATAATTACATCCACATGCAGGAGTCTAAACCTCTTCTTTCAATTCTTTTGGCTGTGTATCTAGGAGATGAGCTGCTGTGACACAGGGTAGTTTTATGTCTAACTGTCTGAGGCAATTCCACTTCTTCCTAGAGTTCCCCCCAACTTTCACTAGCCCAGAGAATTGGTTTTGTCTCCTTTTTCCCCATAGCAATTTATAAAACTGATATACCAACACAGGGATACAAATTCAGGACTTCTGACTCCAAGTCCTATTTTTTGGCACTGTCCTACAGCGATGACTATCACCTCCACCTCACACTGACTGCATTTCATAGATGACACATCCAAGTCAAGGCCACTCAGCAGCTAAGTGACAGAGCTGGGCTCTGGATTCTGAGTTCCAACTATCTCTGTAATCCTAAATGGACAGATGGGAACAGAGGGAGGAAGGAAGGAGAGGAGGGAAGAAGGAAAGGAGGAAGGGAAAAGGGAGGGAGTGAAGGCAGGAAGGGCGGGAGGAAAGGAAGGAAGGGAAGGAAAGAAGGAAGAAAAAGAAGGGGAGGAGGAAGGGAAGAAAGGCAAAGAAGGAAGAAAGGAAGGAAGGGGAAGAAGGCTGTCTCTTTTATTCCCGGAAAAGCCCCAAGCCTCACAAGATCCAAGGTCCAGAGATCAAAGTTTGCCTCCCCGCAAGGCCTCCTATGGAGTATCCACAGCAAGGAGGGAGCTCCAGGAGCTTTGATTTGAGCACATTTATTTTGCCTCTTTATCTATATTTTGATGATAGGAAGAAAAGAGAAAATGACCCTTGTATTTTGTTTCCAGCCCTTTCAAACTTCATGCAGTTTAGCAAACTGGGGCAGAGCAGGGGGTCCAAGGGCCCATGCAGGGGACAGCACAGGTGTAGCCAACCAGGCGAGGGGTGTTGGGGAAGGTCTTGCGCATGGCCATGCACTTCTCCTTGTCGATGCACAGGGTGTTGGCCTTGATGGCCAGCTCATGTTCCAGCCGTGACTTGGTCATCACGAGCAGCTGCAGTGTGTCCTGTGCCTCCCGCAGCCTCAGCTTCAGGGTCTGCAGAGTGTCATTGATGGTGAACACCTCATTCACAAGCCTGGGAAGTGGGCGGAGGATAAGGCATGGTTTATTCAGCCACTCAACAAAGACGCACTCACTGTGCAGCGGAACTGTGCCTTGTGGTGACAGAGTATAGTGAGTAAGACCAACAAGGCCCAGGCCTGGAGGGGCCACCAGGTGACAGTGCAGGGGTCACCAGGGTGACAGGTATAAAGAAGAAGCAGGATGGGAGACACAGTGTGCTAGTCAGCTTGCTGTGGCTATGACGAAACGCTGGAGAAAACTATTTTAAAAGAGGAAAGGTCTATTTTGGCTCACAGTGTCAAAGGTTTCAGTCCATGGGCGGCTGGTTTCCATGGCTTTAGACTTGTCTGAGGCAGAAACATCAAGGCAGAATGGTGTGATGAAGGAAAACTGCTCACTTTATGTAGGCCAGGAACCAGAAAGAGGGATAATGAGCCAGAGAGAAGGCCTGGGGACCAGATCCAGTCCCGAAGTTACCCTCCCATGACCCACTTCCTTTCACTAGCCCCCATCTGTTTCCATCACCTCCCTACAATGTCTCAAATTATGATCTCATAATTCTAATGAGTTAGAGCCCTCGTGATCTAGTCACTTTCCAAAAATCCCAGCAGCAACCAAGCCTTCAACACGATGAGTCTTTGGGGAGACCTACTGGATCCCAACTATGAAACAGGATAGGAAACACTCTGGTGGTTCCTCAGTAAGGTTAGAGGTAGGGCTATCAGTGATGGTGAACCTTTTAGAGCTTTCAGTGATGACAAACAGCCCGCTTCGGCAAGCGAGCCATAGGTTCACCACCACTGGTAGGCGATTCTGCTCCTGGACTCAAAGCAGGTGTTCACATCAGCAGGTGATGAATGCTCACAGCCGCACTCTTCACAGGGCCCACAGGTGGAAACAACTCCAATTCCTGTTGAGAGGTGAATGGATGAGCAAAAAGCGGCGGCATGTGCAAACTGTGAAATATTTAGCCACAATACAAAGAGGAATTTTTTGTTACATGTATTTTAAATAGGGTTTTGGCTATTTGGAAATACGGTTTTTGCAAGTGACAAACAGGGCCAGCCTCATTCAGATATGAATGTTGGGTGCACTGGTGACTCTTGAAGTCTTGCTCAGTCTCCATTACTCATGGGGGCTCCATCACCAGCAGCTTTGAGTGTTGGCTCCTTAAGGCTCACTGGTCCACACACCAGGGAATAATGGCTCTTGACCAATCAGAGTGCTCCTCCCAGCAACCCACAACCAATGGCTGACTGACTCAGATACCAAAGGCTGGCCCTGCCTCATGGTGGAACAACTCTGGGGTCAATTCAGGCATAAGGCCAGGCTACCTCAGTCCCCTTCTTTGCCTCTGGAGAACTTTCCAAAAGCCCCAGAAAGGCCTCTCTCAGGAGGGGACCTTGGAGCAGAGGGTAAAGATGAGTGTGCCCAGTTGGGATTTGAATTTGTAATCTTCCTGTCCTTTCCAAGTGCTGGGAAGGACAGTGGATTTCTAAGGAGAAGAGCACATACAAAAGCAAGCTTTTGTTCCCACTGTCCTAAGGAGCTGTGGAAGAAGATGAAATGGGAGGACCTGCAGGCTGCTGGGTAAAGACTCAACTGCAAAGGGTAAGCACAGGGGTGGGAGAGTGGCAGGGCTTTCCATGATGGCCAGGCGCAGCAGCTTCATAGTGTCCCTCAGAAAGGTGTCTCCAAGTCCTAACTCCCTGAGCCATGAGTGTGGTGTTATTCGGAAATCAGATGTCAGTAAGCTCTTAAGATGAGATCATTCTGGATTGACTGTGGGTCCTAAATCCAATAGCAGATCTCCTTACAGGAGAAAGGCCAGGGAGGCTCAAGACGGAGGCACACACAGGAAAGAAGGTCAAGTGAAGATGGATGCCGAGCCTGGCGTGGAGCCCTACAAGCCAAGGACGCCAGAGATGGGGCAGGCTCCATATCCAGGGACAAGCTCAGAGCCCCTACCCCATGCTCTCGGACCCCTTCCTGGGCCAGCTCAAACTTCCAGGCCGCCTCTGTTGCCAACAGATGCAGCCCCTTTGCTAAGTGCGATGGAAAGGGTCCAGCTGACAGGGGAAGGTTTCGGCTGTCCCAGGCCCTCACGGTTCGAACTTCACAAGGAGGGAAGTGGGGAAATGAGGAAGGCAAGGGCCAAGACTTCCTACTCAGGAGCTTGGAGAGAGAAGACAAGAAACCACGGGCCCACACCATGTCCCTGCTTGGGAGGCTAATGGCCCCTCAGCTTCTTTTTTTCATGCTGGGGAATGAACCCAGACCCTTGTACATGCTAGACAAGCACTCTATCAGTGAGCCTCATCTCCAGCCCACCTTTTCATTTTTTATTTTGACACAGGGTCTCATTAAGTTGCCCGGGTTGGCCTCCAACTTGGAATCCTCCTGCCTCAGCCTCCCAAGTAGCTGGATTTACAGGAATGTACTACCACACCTGGTATCTCCTTAGCTTTCAGGGGACAGCAGGAGAAGATGAGAAGATGTGTTGCCAAGAGCCAACCTGGCAGGGCAGAGGAGCTGTGGAGAGAGACAGCCTGGGCTGGGCCCAGCACTCCAGCCCCGCGCAGCACGGTGCTGTTATGGGAGTGGATGTTCTGATTGATGGAGGCTCTGTAATTCAGACCCAAGGCTCCAAGGTCTCAAGGCCCACCCCTGCCCTTCATGGAGCCCCAGGTCTCCACTCACACATACTCACTTGAACTGTGGGATGTCCCTGCACAGCTCCACGTTAGGGCGCCGGCTCTGGCACTCCAGCTGCGTCTGGGCCACCTTCAGCGGGCACTCCTTGGCCATGATGGACCTCTCCAGCAGCATGATGGTGTTCTCTGTCTGGAAGATCTCCTGCAGCATCTGAGAAGATGGTGAGGCTGTCACCACCCCAGGACTCTCTGACTTCCTGCTGCTTGGGTGAGGAAGCGGAGGGTAACCCAGCCTTGAACACCGACCCTGCACTAACTAGGGCAACCCTGGGAAGTGGTTTCAGGCATCTCAGGTCAGCAGGTACCGTGCATGCTGGGATGCTGGGGAGGGGCATGTGCTGGGCTGGTTTTGTTTTGAATCCCCAGTAGCCAGTGGAGTTGGCCAGTGGTCAGTGGGAGGGAGGAGAGAGGAAGCCTCTTATGTAAATATACATAACCTGTAGGGTTAGGGGCATAGCTCAGTGGTAGAGTGCTTGTCTAGTATGTGGGAGGACCTGGGTTTGATTCCTAATATCTCCCTCCCACCAAGAAGAAAGGTTAATACACATAATCCAACTCAAAAACAATAGACAACCTCTAAAGCCATTCTCAGCTGCATTAATGTGGGTTGTTCTACACCTTTTTACAATCTAGAATTTACTTTCCTAGTAACGAGGTCAGTAAATGAAAAAGAGAGGGCATTTAAAAAAATTTTCTATTTATCCATAGCAATATTTTCCTTCATTATAATGTCACCATGGTGCCCTAAAATTGATGGAAGTGCAGATCAGAGGCATGGGTAGGAAGGGGCCAGTTGGGGAGGGAAACGTTCTCTGAATGCAGGTTTCAGAGGTGAACACAGGGAAAATGCACCACTAAAATTCATCAGGCTGCGCACACTATTGTGAGACTGTTAGGCCTCCATAGAAAATAAAATGAAAATCAGAAAATAGTTACAAGAAAAGATTGGCAAAGTACTGACATTTGTGCTGGGTCCCTGGGAGTCTTTTATGTGATTCTCTCTACTTCTGCAGGTTTAAAATTTTGCATTATAAAAAACAAAAAAAATGAGAGTAGGAAGAAAGGGGACACCAGGCTGGGTCACTACCAGAAGGAGCTGACCTTGCCCTGGCCTACCGTGGCTTGCTGAGGACTGAGCCCATGCACGGTACCAAGCCAGTGGTGTCTGCAGGTGACAGCACATCCATTCTCCACCCTACTGTCGCCCAGCAGCCCTGGGTCTGTGAGCAACTCTGCTTCTCATTGTGTCCCTCTGCTGTGAGATGGCACTTTCTTTTGGGCAGGGTTTGTACTGATACTTACCTACAGGATCCAAGCATAGAAGTGACATCCTGTCACAATGGCCCTGATCCCCAGAAGGATGTGCTGGCATTGTCCATCATCACAAAGAGCTCAGTTTCACTTGCCCAGAGGTTCAATACCAGTTAATGAGGCTGCCCACCAGCTCCACCAATGCCATCTCAATAGGGTGCGGTGCTGGTGGTATAGTGGTGACCATAGCTGCCTTCCATCTCAATAGGGTTACTGCTCATGCTTAACCTGCTGTTCTGTGAGAAAGTGTTCACTTTCATTGTTTGCCATCTTGAAACAAGATGGCAGCCAATGTATATCTTACTGTGTCTCCTCTGTAAGTAGGATAAGTGAGGAGTATCACTCAAAAAAACTACTAGTAGTTCCCACAGAGACTGGCACTGCCCCACTGCCCTGGAACCATCTTGTGGAGGCCAGCCTCTCCTGACCCCACCAGTGGTATCTGAATCTGCATTGCAGAGGCACTGGGGGGCCAGAAGATACAGCAGAAGTGAACAACAGAGAGAGGGCCTCTCTGAGGCTCCTCAATGAAAATTGAAGCCCATTGGGAAAGTGAGGAAAATTTCTGCAATAAAGGCACACTGGACCACCATGGTTGGTAAGTTGGTGGGATCAGCACCTCCCATAGGAACCCTGACTCGCTTTGGGGGAAGGGCAGCTGGAACCTGCAGTAGAACCTTGCAGAGTTCAATCCTGCAGGAGGTCAGGGACCTCAACTTGGCCCGTGCAGCCAGAAATCAGCCTGAATCTCAGTGGACTACAGCTGGCTTGCTGAGACTAATCAACTTAGATCTGCACACTGCTGCCCATGCTGTCTACCACAACAGCAGAGACATACCCTGAAGGAGGCCTTTTTTTATTTTTTAAAAAATTTGTATTTTTTTTCTTTTCTTTTCTCTCTCCCTTCTTGTTCTGTATTTCTCTCCCTCATTGTTTCTGTTCCTGTCCTATTTTCAGATTGTTTTTCCTCTGTTTCCTTCTCTCAATTGTCATTATTCATATAGGAAGGTGAATACAGTTTCTAGCTTCCCTATTGATGTTAGTTTATTCTGTTCTTGTCTTTGTTCCTTTGCTCTGTCTTTTCCTCTTGTTTTCAACAGTTTCCAAAAATGTGCATGATTGTCCTGATTAGCCTCACTTCTAACCTTTTCCTCTTCTTCTACCTCTCTATCCCTCCCTCCCCAACTCCTTCTAAGTCCTCATCCCAAAGGTAAATTTGCTATATTGAAGGGTTTATTTACTACAAACGTATTTTGGGGTGGTCCTCAATTTTGATCTAGCTCATGTGGTTTAAGGTAACAGATTAATAGCTACCACAAATTGTCATTTTCTAAGCTGTGTTTGATGCTATTGTTGATGCTGATTGTATCACTTGGGCTAAGGTGTCATGATTGATCTAATCATTTGTCCTTCCTGGTGTACCGAAAATGAGATTGGCTAACAGTCATTAAAGACTCAAAGCCTATGGGCTGGGGATTTAGCTCAGTGGTTCCAGTGCTTGCCTTGCAAGCGCAAGGTCCCAAGTTCGATTCCCAGTACCAAAAAAAAACAAAGACTCAAAGCCTAAAGATCAGCTATACCCAGAAGGCACCTCTGAGAAGCAATCATACCATAAGGTTTCTAAATACAAGCAATAACGATACTGATTATTGAGTAAGCAATATTGAAGTATCAGCCCAGGAATTAAACCAAAAAACACCACCACCAACAAAAATAGAAATGAGAGGACACTTAAACAAGGTGCAAAGCCATACTTCCAGCTCACCACAGGCAAATTCTGGGGGCAAAAAAGTGGAAAAAATCTGATAATTAACCACCTGGACACCCTGAACTGATACCACAGGAAGTAACAAAACAGATGAACGAGGCTCTAGAAAAATTCAAAACAGAAATAATTTCACTGATAACTACAGAGATGGTGAGCATAATGAAAGACATGATTAGACTCAAGAACAAAAATAGATTTAAAAAATGGATGACCTCAGGACCATGATGGAAGCCATGAATGCCCAGCATAGGAAAGAAATGGAATCCATGGAACAGTTTCAAACAGATATCCAAAAGATTAGAAACTTCATTGAGGGCCAGGGATTTAGCTCAGTGGTTCTGCTGCCTGCCTTGCAAGCTCAAGGTCCCGAGTTAGATCCCTGGTACCAAAAAAAAAAAAAAAAACCAAAAAGAAAAACTTCATTGAGAGTATTCTCAGCAGAATGAGCTAATGTGAAGGTCAAATATCAGATAAGGAAGACAGGATTGTGACCATGAAAAGAGAGATTTCTTAGAAATAGTAAGGGACCATGACAAATCAATCCAGCAGCTGCTAGATGATGGAAACAAGAATAACATAAGACTGATAGTAGTCCATGAAAAAGAAGGAGAAAATAAAAACATAAAAAAACTGTTCACAGAAGCAATGGCAGAAAACTTCCCAAGCAGAAGAGAAGAATTTGACCTACAAATAAGGGAAGCATACAAGACTCCAACTAGCCATGATCAAAAAAAATGTACACCTAGACATGTAATAGTCAAGATCCCAGAAACTCAACAGAAGAACAAAATCCTACAAGCAGCTAGAGAAAAGAAACAAATCAAATACAAAGGAAAACCCATCAGAATCACAGAAAACTTTTCAACACAAACTCTCAAGTCAAGAAGAACCTGGAGTGAAGTAGTTCAAGCCTTGAAAGAAAATAAACTCCAACCTAAATTGTTGTATCCTGCAAAATTATCTTTCAAAATTGATGGGGAAATTTGATACTTCCACAACAAAGAACACCTGAGAAACTTCATGAACACCAAACCAGCACTCCAAACAATTCTAAACAATATCCTAGAAAAAGATAATAAGGGTCACAACTCCATGAGGCCCAACGAGGCAAGAAATTAAAGGGAAAGGGAAAAAAAATTTTAAAAAGAGCCAACAACAGGAAAATATCATGACAAGGAGAAGTCAATACATATCAATTATAACCATCAATGTTAATGGCCTCAATTCACCAACCAAAAGAAATAGACTGGCAGAATGGATTAAGAAGCAAAATCCAACAATATGCTGTATACAAGAAACACATTTAATTAAAAAAAAGTTCATACCAGGGATTTAGCTCAGTGGTTCTGCCGCCTGCCTCATAAGTGCAAGATCCCGAGTTCGATCCTTGGTACCAAAAAAAAGAAAAAAAAAGAAAAGAAAAGAAACTCATAGACTGAAAGTAAAAGGATGGAAAACAATTCTTCATGTAACAGGAACCCGGAAAAAAGCAGGGGTAGCTATTTTATTTGCAGACAAGGTAAATTTCAAACCAAAACTAATTAAGAGAGACAAAGAAGGTCACTACATCCTTGTAAAGGGGACAATCCAAGAGGAAGAGATGACAATAATAAATATATATGCACCAAATACTAGTGCTCCCAACTAAAATAAATATTAATGGACATGAAAAACCAAATAAACACTAATACAATTGCAGTGGGGGACCTCAATACTTCACTGTCACAGACAGATCATCTAGACAGAAAATCAACAACAAATAAATACTAGAATTGAACAAAACTTTGGAACAAATGGACTTAATAGATGCCTATAGAGTGTTCCACCCCACAAAATCAGAATACACATTCTTTTCAGCTGCATACGGTTCATTCTCCAAAATAGACCGCATATGCTAGCTCATAGAATATGTTTAAGTAAATCCAAAGGAATTGAAGTTATCCCCCATATATTATCAGATCATAGTGCAATTAAACTGGAGATCAATAGCATAAGAAACTACAAGAACTTCAGAAACACATGGAAATTGACTAACACTCTCCTGAACATCCAATGGGTCACAGAGGAAATTA